TTCCCAAAAACGAATCCCTTCAATTTTCAATGTTTTCGTTCGACTGGTTTGGGGAATGTTCCTAGATACCCGGACAATTATTCTCGAAAATATGCATAAAGTACAACACGTGCAGCTCCTGATGAACACATCAGTTACCTCCTCACACTCCACATTCACTAGAGGTGGCTCGTACGGATACCCCTCGCTGGAAAATTCGTACCAACCCCCAATTCTCCGCGACGTGACGCTTGACTCTGCTCCGCCCACTCTATACCCACTGGGGAAGGTCGTGTGGGGACACCCCTTTCAAGCGAGTGGGGAGCGCGTCGTGCTAACCCACAGTATTCCGCGACGTGGTACTTCACCTCGGCTCTGAGGATTGATGTAGCGTGGGTCTGAAAGCTATCGATTGGTTTACAGGAAATGAGAGAGCAGTTGAAGTTTCAATAGGGCCTTCGAAAAGGCAAGTCATTGTATAGGCCACATCGCATTCAATAAGCCACTACGATTCTGAATGGAAGTAGAATGCGTGCCGCATCCCACAAAGGGATTGATCAACGGCGATCCTTTTATCCCTTATAGGGCCCTGCTGATATTTTGGGCCAAATACCAAATTGTCGAGCGAACTGCCTCTAAGTGATAAGAATAGTAATGCTCCTGAATTTACTCCATCATTTACCACTTACTACTACGTATTAGGTAGTACAGGCATAGCGAGTGGTGAGCTGACTTCAAAAATCAGCAATTAAAAAAGTGCGAACTACATACGCTCGGTGATGACTTCTGAACAGAAGTGATATTTCGGGAGGAGTAACGTCGCACTAGGTTTATAAGGCTCCTGCGGTCAGAGATGAGTGTGAGGATGTGCTGGGGTGATGAGTTCTTCACGGCCTCTCCTAACTTCATTTCCTAAAGGGAAGAGTTTCTCGAGCGATACTATCCTTTCTTTTTCTGAAAATCCTCAATCAAAGCGTGAAGCTCTAAAGGAAAGCCCGGGAGCTTTCAGGGATGAGAATTCAACTTTCTTCCATAACTGCTCTTACAGTGAGCTTGTAAACAGTCGCATGCAGAGAGTCAAAATTCCGAAAAATACGTTTCGCCAGCTGTACAAGTGCATATTTCTGTCACCTGATGGCGCGCCCAAATGAGGCAAAAGTTTAGTGACATGTGGGTGCCGTCTCGAACACTGCCCGAGGCCATCATTGAGGTCCGGCACCTATGTCGATGCCAAAAGCCGCAACGGGCACGCAGCAGCGAACAGAGAAAGAGTAGGAAAGTAGTGCGTCTGACCATGGTTAGACGCGGGTCTGGCGGTAGCGCAGACTGTAACTGGAGACGGTATGGGTATTAACACCCTTCAGCCCTGTTCCATGGACTTCCGCGGAAAAAAAGAGCACCTTCGCACCTACCGACCCATTCTCTTCGAATAACAGGGACAGCGACTGACGGAAATACAGCTTGCTTTGCGATAATTCTGGATGCTTCGACGGGGTTACTTTTGTTCTGCCTTCGCTCACAACCTGCTTTACGCGACAAGCGCAATCCAGAAGCGGGTTTGGAATATGTGTTTTTCCCTTGAAGATTCGATTTTACCTCTTTTCTGTTTTCCTTGTGCTGAAGGCGTAGCTGACAGTTTTTAAGGCTCTCCAACTCTGCCTGGGTGTCTTCGGTAATGTTTTATATTCTTTTCTTCACTATAATGACAGCTAGCATACAGCATCTATAATGCTAGGTGACATTCGTATTTGAATCCCTGTACCCGAAATGTAGTCGCAGAAAGTCCCTTCAATTGTCGTTAGGGTTTCTGGAACGTTGCGTTGAGAAACCGAGTAAGGTTTCCAGCTCCTGCAGATTCATTGTGGCGACTCTCTTACATTATGCAGCTGTAAGTTCCTATGAGCGCGAGTCAAGAAATTTGTGAACACGTTCGCGCTAGTTTATGTACCTACTATATAATTTAGAGAAAAAGTCGCACCGAACTTTTTCAAAGGGGATGTAGCCGCCATACGTCAGGTCCAGATTATCGGCCGGTGGAAGACGCTCGCACATCTAAGAGACGTGCTATCCGCGTTCAATCAACCCCGGGAACATAGGTTTGGCCCAGCCGAAGTTGCGACCTGAGCTTCACATTGTGCTGTCATAAACGATGAGTGGTGTACAAATTCTTTCTGATCTGCCGTGTTGAACCCTTAGCCGATTTACTCTGCTGGTTTCAGAATTCGTTCCTTGAAACGTCAGAGCGCCCCCACTTGTTAGTCAATCCACCGAAGCGTCACCTCGATAGAAAAGCATTAGGTAAATCACATCTTCATACATCGATTTTCCTCTCAACTCAAGTAGATGAGAGGGATCAAATGGAAAATCAGTATTATTCTGCGTTGAAAGAGAACTGACCTTTATCCAGTGATTGCATATTGTATAATCACGGTTGCTAACCAGAGAGGTATTATCGAAAGTGAATGTCTTGGTTTTCCAATAAGGAGCTGCTTCAAGTGTTTCACCGCAGCCAGATGGCTAAATATTCCTTTTCTCAGCACCTTTTGGGTTGCACAAAGTCTCCGTGGTTCTTCGCAACAAACCGGTCTTACCACCTTATCTTGAGCAACACTCACTAGATTGTCTCGAACATATAAGTCTAAAAAGTAATATGCCAGCTTGCATTCCTCCCAAAAAAGGTCTATCATTTTTCGCTAGTGGAGAAAATCATATCACTTTGAATGAGTAGAAACAACGGAAGATATACGGTATGTAGTGCTTTCCAAAGGCAGCACCGGCGCAAGGACATGCCAAAGAATACTCTGAAGTGTACGGCGAAGGTGCTGTTAGTGAACGATGGACCAGGTGTTATTTGCTAGATTCCGTTATGTAAATTTGGATGTTGAATATGCAGCTCGCCTGATGGGTCAGTAACTGAAAAGGTCAATGAAACAGTGTCACTGGTGGAGCAAGACCGACATGCAAACTGTCGCGAAATAGTGGAGGAACTGAACGTAAATCATCAACAGGTTTTAACCAATCGAAGAGATTAGGGTACTGTGAAAAGAAGCCTGATGCTCGGATATCACTGTGTTCCATTGGGGACAACGCGCGGCCATATATACTTGATGGATCGGAACAATTTGACAGAACTTGGTTGAGGAGCTTCGATGCATTCACCGCATAGCCCGGACCTTGCATTGTCCCTACACCTCCCTCAAGGCCGACCAAAGCGCCGCTGAAATTCACCTAACCAAGTTTTTCGCCGATAAACCACGGGAGTCCCACACCAATGGGATCACGACATTAGCAGATAAATACAAAAAGTCAAAGATGACATTGGTAATCATGATTGAAAAACGATTTGCAATAAATGGTGTTTGTCAAGTATGTGCGAAAACCGCGGAGACTTTTCAAGCCACTCTAGATACAGACTAGTGAATAGTTCTCCAATAGTGAAGGAGGCAACACAAACACAGCAAGGCTCTGTCTTAAGCCGTTTGTTGTAGTTGCGTGAACTAAAGGAGCTCAGAAACATCACCAATTTATGTCTATCTGACCCTTTCCTCGCAAAATCTGCCGCCGTAGCCATGTGGACAAAGGCATTCGTCACACTGTCTGGGATTCGGAACTCCTCCATTTGCGCACATAATCCTATTAGACGACTCACATCGATCTGTAAAACAAAAGAAATAAAATTGTAGTCGTGTTTAATTCGCAGAGCTCTGTAGAGTAATAATTGATACTGCGAAAGGCTCTAAAACGGTCATTTTAGTTTTGAGGAAGAGCTTATACAGCAGGGTGTCTCTACCCCCAGCCTCGTTCCCGGCTTTCGTCGCTGCGCGCCGATTCACCTCGCAACGGGCACGGACAGTCCTCGGAGGCGAATGTACAACTTCGCTCTGAGCCGCTCAATTTGGACATGGCGGAGGATGCGCTCTTCGAGAAATATTTCTATTTCAGGCAAGCCATCCCGTCCTGTGGGCACAAGTATATCATTGCCAATGTCCTAGAAGATATGACCCATCAGAAGCGGAGCTCGAATGAAGTACCAGCCACACTATTCCCATCTCCGGAATATGCAACTGTGCTCACGAAGGTCTTCTCGTATCCATGTGACAAACCCTCTGACCATGAGGACAAGGTCTTATACCAATTAGTTCGATGAGCGATCATTCCTCTTGACTTGTCCATGGGTGCCAAACTATTAGGTTGTTCGAAAAGTCCTGCGACACTTTGATTGAATTGTTCTAGAAAAAGACCAAAAATCATTTTGGATGTTTTTATCCCTGATTAGTGGAGACTGTCCTCTGGGGTTTCTGCACATGGGTATATCATGACTTTGTGGAAGTTTTCAAAGCTTAAAAGTCCCTCAGAGATCGAGGTACTTTTCGACCTATCCCATATTATGAGTTCCTGTAGGGCCACTCCGCCGTAGTCGAGGAAGCTAACACTTACGTTGTCTTGAGGAAGGATATCGCTTGCCATGGCAGAGGGTAGCTTTTGCATCAGCGCTTCCAGGCTGGACTTATTTAACTCGTAGTTAGGCAATGTATAGGTCGCCCACCCGCACAGAATGACGACCCTTCACTCGAGTTTCTTGAGGCGCAGCCGG